GGGGTAGACTGTTCTGTGCCATGTGTCCTCAAAGACACATAACTTGGTGGGGCATATGTGGGATGTGAACCCTTCGGTTAGCAACAGATTAAGAGGGAAAAGACACATGGCACAGTGGATAAAGGTGTTGGTTAGATCCAGTGACAGGACCCACAGAGTATGAGTTCAATACCCGGTTAAGGCAGTGGAGAACTTTCAGAGGGAAATTAACAGGAAATAACTGACATCCATCAAACATGGCACGTGTAACTAGAACAGTCTACCCCAGTGAGCGAAATAAAGGGTTCAGTTCGACATTCCAACCACCTGAAGAAGGCCGGAGCGTACAACGGACGAAACGTTGTGATAAATATGGCGACAAAGATGAGGACAATAGTCCGAATAATGTACATAATACCTCATCTCAGAAATATAGACAGACTCAGATTTCTCCAAATTTCGCCGAACAATCATTTTGAGAATTTCTCTATACATCATGTCCAAAAAAAAAAAAGTAACAGATATACGTTGTCAGAGCTTACAATGAAATAGTATATATCAGTGGTTCCCAACCGATTTGGGGCCATGCCCGACATTGGTATTTCTAAAATTATGATGATCCCCTGTAATATTTAATTCTTACATATTTAAAATTTTACTGCAATTCCCGTGAAGGAAGCAAACCAAATGCTCACATGCGCTGATTGGCCGACAAAACATTGGCTCTTCCAGCGACATGCATCACGCCGTCACCTTTGTTAACCGAGACATGCGAGAGTGGCAAAACAGGAAATACCCTGTATACCAATTACATATGTACGTACATGCACACAAAATAGTTTTATGTCTGCATACTGTAATTACATCGTATGTATTAACACGCATTAACATTAATACTCTCACTCAGACGTACTAGAAAACAATTCACTGTCAATAACTAATTCTCGAATTTCCCTCTTAATCTGTTGCTAACCGAAGGGTTCACATCCCACATATGCCCCACCAAGTTATTAACAGGCCCCCTTTTTTTATAATATGTTGAAACATGAGTAATCGAAAGTATATAACAAAAGCTGAAAAGACAGATAATAAGGACTGAATGAAGCCTCCACATTTGATATATTGAAGGAGCTTAGCAGGCATATATATATATATATATATATAATTTTTTTAAATAAACGACTTCCGGTAAAATAGCCGCCATAATAGACTACCCACAATACACCACTGACCCGTATATGTATAAATAGCCGAGAAAAATAACAGCACACGTGGCCTGACGATTGCATATAGCATGAAATAGACTGTCGCCTCTAAGTGTTGACTTCTATATTCACTTATATATATATATATATATATATATATATATATATATATATATATATATATATATATATATATATTTCCACCATTTTGATATATTGAAGGAGCTTAGGAGAGTTATATATATATATATATATATATATATATATATATATATATATATATATATATATATATTAAAATATATCACTTCCGTTAAATTAACCGTCTAAATACGTCAAGGTTCGGTCACTTCTCCTCCCCAATACTAAGTATGATTGAGAGAGATATGAAATTAATTCTCCCTAAACTCTACCATGTCTCTTTAACTACTCCTTTTACACTCTCTGTTAAATTACAAAAACTTACACTACCCATCAATTTTATTTCATTTTTCGTTTCATTTCATTTTTTGGAAGTGCTATCTGATGATCCGGCGTCTTTTAAAAGGGCTCTGGTGAAATAAATTATTATAATGGTACCTTAAAGTGGTCTGTCTTTTTTAATATATATATATATATATATATATATATATATATATATATATATATTAGATCATTTCATTACTCATGTTTCAACATATATTATGAAAAAATAATATTTATTAGATTTAAGGGGCCTTAAACTAATAATATTTTAATCTGCATAATAACTTCAGACGGCAGTTTTTTGTAAAAAATCCGATAACTTTAATAAAACAGGTTCAACAATTTAACTCAATCTTTGTTTCGCCATCTAAATTAATCGTTTAAAATTTGATAAAAATTATTCAAACCAAATTTGAATTATTTTGCATAATAACATCAGGCGGATTGTATATGAAATAATGATTTCCAACGTGGGGCGCATGCCCCACCGGTGGAGCATGGTAATATTTTGTGGGGCATTATTTGTACTCTTTGGCTTATATATATATATATATATATATATATATATATATATATATATATATATATATATATATATCTACTCTATTGTATTCAGTCTGCTTTTTAAATTAAATGCTAAGGACAGTGGAATTATACTTCATTTGTTCTCATCTTTAAATAGATACACACACACACACACATATATTGCTGGCCACGTATTCGAGGATACCCGTCTAATAAGGTGGCTAGCTATTCCTATTGCAGGCACATTTGTGTTTGTCCAACACCCACTGAGCCCCCCTGTTGTTTATACTGCAACTATGCTGAGTAGACCTTAGTTACAGTTACGTGTTATCTAGCGTGCTGAACAATTTGAACAAGGCCAGCACGGTCAAGCCCTCAGCCACGATGACTTGTGACTTCGTGCTGGCACAGCTATCGACGGCCCCTACTTTCGATACCGTGGCTTAAAAAATTCATTTTTATAAATGAAAACGCTTTCTTAAAGCTTTCATTTTAGCTCTATCTGAAATACCAGAACATTATCTATTCTATTGTAATAGACTCTCCCACACATAATAAGTAGTAGTAGTAGTAGTAGTAGTGGTAGCCAGTGGGGCTCAGTGGAGTTGAGTGTGTCAGTTGATGTCGGACATTGAAGTATCAACGACCACAACTAGATTGCTGCGTCATTAACTATTATTGCAAGTTCCTAACGTTTTGTACGTCGAACCTAATTTAGGACGACTTAGTGAAATACAAGCCTCCACTGTGAAAACTACTCTACAACACCAGTAAACAACATACTCTGGTCTATTTCAAATAGAAATTGTATTGACTGAAATCGCAACATTTTTGGTCGCTTTTTAACATATCTGACATTGTCTATATTTCTGAGATGAGGTATTATAATTAATTACATTATTTACATTGGAATTTTGAGCTGAACACTTTATTTCATCCAGTAGAATAGATTTTTGTACTTCCGAGTGTAGTGCCTCTTCCGGATGTCTCAGTTATCTCCCTTTAACTCAACTCTCTAAGTTTTTGTTCAACACTGCAGTAGCCAGGTATTGAACTTAAAACACTTTTGTGTCAACTCACTGAAACCGACCAACGCTTTTATCTGCTTGCTTGGTACCATTGATACCATTGCATAGCATCAATGTCCATCACCATTTTTTGTTCCTACGAGTCGAGATGTAAATAAGTCACCGAAACAAGAATGCATCTCTGTAGTGGGTAATTGTTTTTTGCCCAAATGTAAAAATCTATAATAAATAATTAATCTTGATATTGAGTCCCCTCGAGAATTAATGCTGTGAACGTTAGAATTTACATTATTCTCGTTCGTTCTCATTACATTTGAACATCTATCTATCTATCTATCTATCTATATATATATATATATATATATATATATATATATATATATATATATATATTATTTATTTAAAAAAATATGATTCCAAATCGCGACATAAGAAGTCTCATGTTTCAAAACAAGAGCCGAAAACTTCAATATAATTATTTAAATTAAATTGAGTTAAAGTAAGCTCTGTTCCATCTTCAAGCGAAATTTTTTTAACTCAATTTAATTTAAATAATTATATTGATGTTTTTGGCCTTGTTTTGAAACAAGAGATCTTATGTCGCGATTTGGAATCATATTTTTAAATAAATAATTATATTTATGCTCTACTTTTGTATCGAGCACTATTTTATTTTTAAAAATAACTAAAATACTAAGGGACTTTGGATTATTTACCTAACCAGTTCCTTCCTATTTTCTATATATTTTCACACACACACACACACACACACACACACATATATATATATATATATATATATATATATATATATATATATATATATATATATGTATGTGTGTCTGTGTGAAATAGACTGGCCTTGGGAAGAGGTCGTACACGCGTTGCGACCGGCGTCTCGACTCACGCCATCGGGAGCGAAGGTGTATATTGGTAATTGACGACCTTAGCTCAAAGGAAGTACATTTACCGAGTGTAAACCTCGTCTATCGTAAGTACCATGTTCACGATTATTGTTATTTTACATTGTTGGTAAAATGTATATTGGAACCCTTCTTTTCATTTTCCCCTTTTAGTACTTCGTATTTATTATTGTCTGGGCGCTCCTTGGTGTAGGGAACCGGTATAAAATAAACCCCAAAACATATATTGAAGCCGATAAATGTAGTTAATGATATCGTCCGGTTCACACTCCCCCCCCCGGTTTGTGAAAAGGGCTAAAGGTTTTTCCATTGTTTCTTGTTTAGGATTGAATTTCCTGTTCCTCCTAAGGTTTGCTTCAACTCTAGACTTCTAAAATCTCCGACTGAGCCCTGAAATTTTATTCAAGTTTTTTTTTTCTTATCTCCAAATGGGAGTAGATAGGTTCGCTTATCGTCCGATTCACAGTCCTTGTTGGTCTTTTAAACCGGTGTAGAAGTTTATCCATTTTTATTTTTTTTTTTTTTAGGATTGAGTTTCCGGTTCATTCTAAATTCTACTTCCGCACTATATTCCTGCCGTCTCCGACTTAACACTGAAATATTATTCACTAATTAAATCTTGACCTCTTCGTGTTCACAGATAGTTGTTTTCTTTAACTTCTTGCCCTTTTTTTACGTTAAAACAATACCAAACAAGAATCCTCTGCTTTGATAGACTCCTGGGCCTTTTATTGATGGTCATTAGTAAAACAAAATCTTTCTTTACGACCCATGGTCATTTTTACTTATATGGAATCATAAAATAAATTTATCTATACAATATAGTAAACAATTCGACTGCCAATTCGACTACAAAAATGTGTGCAAAATTGACTTATGGCCATATCACGTTGAAAAAAGCGGTTTCTGTACAATCACCGAAGTTAAGCATCGTCTTTCCTGGTCAGTACCAAGGTGGGTGACCGCTTGAGAATGCCAGGTGATATGAGATTGGATGTGTGGGTTGGGTTATGGATAATGGCAAAGAATTATTGTTATGTGTTAATCAGTAAGACTTGTATCATTAAATGCTTATTATCTAAAAAAAAAAAATGCTTACAATCTAAAAATATTATCTGGCTTTAAATAACCTGCAAGGGGTTGATAAGCCGTAGAAAACGAATCAATCATTCGATTAAGCATTTTAGACGTTCTTCTTATGAAAGCATCATCAATAATATTTGATTTATTCTCGGCGCGCACGTTTCAAAATGCCTTAGTATGGTAAGAATAAAATCTACCCCAGCATATGAATATACATCCATTTCAAAATCCGGATCTGTAACACCATAAATGATCCACTGGCCAACCTTAGACTTCTACCATCTTTTCCTGAAAAGGACCAGCGATTTTTTTAAAATAGTCCTTTAGTCCTGGGTATGACGATAAACTACACCCGGCATCAAGGGCCCTGATCAGGAGATTGTAGGTTTTAAGGACCATGATACCACCTGCTAATTGCTGTTGTTCCCAGGTCCATCCTCTCCCAGGTTGGTAGCACCTGTTATAGTCCCAGCTAATAGTGAGCCCCTCCAAACAAAAAAAGAATATAGAAATACATATTTATAGTAAAAATACCAACAATACATTTTTATATTAAAAAAATTCCCAACAATACAATTTATCTGCAGTTTTGGGCAAAATATATTTAGTGGAAACCATAAAATTATATACAAAATATTTAGATTTCGGCATTAAATAACACATAGAGTTTGATATGCCGCTAAACAAAATCAGACAACCCAACAACCAACATGGAGGAACACTTCCATGACATTAATCTATATATTATCTTACAATTTCTTAAATCAAACTGTATTTCAAAATATAACTTCAACAAAACTACAACATAAAACACACATTACCTCTAGTAATTGCTTTCACACAAACATGTATGTGCGCAAAAGCAGAGTATCATCTACCATGTATTCAAATGTGAAAGCAGAATAACATATATCATATTTTTATTTCTTCAAAACTCCCAAGAAAATTAAATTTCGGCATAAAATAACCCATAATGAGTTAATATGCCGTTAAAAAAACAAATCAATCTCAATTTCTTTTACGAGATTCCATTCAGCTTCAAAGGACTTATTCAGCAAGAAAAGAAACTTGACAACGTATTCAACAAGCATTTCCGTTTCGTTCTATTTAATAAAAACTATTTAAACCAAGGAACATACTATATTTAAACTAAGGCAATATTAAAATAGACACTTTTACACATAAAACAGGCATTCATTGACCCAGCACTTACTGTTACTGTCGGTTGAAATGCATAAAATATATTTTTTTTTTATTAAAACAGTTGTTTTTATCAGTAACTTGCAAGTCTCATATCAACTATTATAGATTTTTCATGTGTTCAATTATACAAGGTATGAATCCACCTATATTACTCCATCAATTAGTAGGTTTTATATCAGTGAATCATTATTATTTCCAAAAGAATTCTAACGTTCTAAAAAATATTTTCTGTCTTTAAATAACCTGCAAGGGGTTGATAAGACGTAAAATAAATTAATTAATCTTTGTTGTGCAAATGGGAGTTTCCGAAGGAGCCTGTTCGTTTTAGTTGTTGATTGGTTGTTTTGTTTTATGGCATATCAACCTCAGTGGGTCATTTGCCAACAAAATTTTTGAAATAGATTCATAGCGATAGTTTGATTATAAATATGTGTGTGTGTGTGTGTGTGTGTGTGTGTGTGTGTGTGTGTGTGTGTGTGTATTTGAACCATTTTTCAATTACTTATATTTTTGAGTACAATCAAACTTCTTAAGAATGTATGGTCGTTTGTATTACTAATATTTTTATGTACTGCTGATAATAATTTTCTTTCAAAATTATTGCTAGTAATATTTTTTTTTTATTACTAAATATTTCTGGTATTAAAACCTATTTTTACACAAGTTTGGATACTAACTATTTGCCCATAGCTGGTACGCTAACATTTGCTACCACCCAGGGTCAGGGTGGACCTGGAAACAGCAGCAATATAGAGGTGTTTTCACGCTTCTGATCAGAAGCCTCGCTGTTGGACATAGTTTATCGCCTTACCCAGGACGCGGATGTAGTTGGTCCTGATACCCAGGACGTGGATGTAGTTTATCGTCTTACCCAGGACGCGGATGTAGTTTATCGTCATACCCGGGACGGGTTCGTTTTGGTTGTGCGGGAATTTAACTCGTTGATTATGTCACTATTTTCCTTTCTAGTTAAATGTGCTTTGTTTTTTGTTTTTTGTTTGTTTTTTTTTTTTTGCCACTGTTGGAAGTGTTCAAGTGATGTGATTTTTGCTATTTTCTATAGTTCGTTGTTTGGAGTCAGATGAAAAACCGTCTTCTTTAATATTTATAAGTTTTATTTGGCTGAATGCATTTTCAACCATTAATCCTGGAAAAGCATTACGTTTAATTGCAATATGATGAAAAAAATGTTTGAGTTGCATAATAAAATCTCATTACACAAAATAACATTGTAAATATCTCTAACAAAAACAGATATTTACTCTATTTACTTACAGATGATTGTCCTTATTTTGTGTGTGTGTGTGTGTGTCTGTGTGTGTGTGTGTGTCTGTGTGTGTGTGTGTGTGTGTGTGTCTGTATGTGCGTGTGTGTGTTTCTGTATGTGTGTGTCTGTCTGTGTGTGCGTGTGTATGTGTGTGTGTGTGTCTGTGTGTGTGTGTGTGTGTGTGTGTGTGTGTGTGTGTGTGTGTGTGTGTGTGTTTGTGTGTGTTTGGTAGGGGGAGGTAAATATTTCACCTCCACGCGAAGTAATCAACATGACCTAGTAGATCTTTGGAGTATCATGCGAGTCCCATCATTTCATTACTAGAATCTGAAGGGGTTTTGCTTGGCCGTATATTTAATCATTTCACCCCAAGCAAAGCAATAAAGCTACTAAGACGGAAGGTGTTACTGAGTGTGAGGGATTATGAGAAAAATAAAAACATTATTAAGGAATGAGAACAACACAAAAACAGGAATTTAACAAAAAAAAAAGGAAGATGACGATTGACATTGCATTTAAATTGTCGAACATCAAAGTTGACTGGAAAGTAAGGAGCCGGAAGAGAGTTCCACAATCGAGAAGTGTGAAAGAAGAAACTGCTAGCATAGAACTTACGGCTATATCTAACCATTCCAACTGTAAAATGATGAGGCCTTTTTGCCAATCTAGTATTGAAAAGAAACGTTATTAAGGAGAGAGGACAATAAAAGAACAGGTATTGGGAATACAGAAAATAACGGTTGGCAATGCATTTAATGTTTTCAAAATCAAAGTTCACTGGAAAGCAAGAAAATGGAAGAGAGTTCCACAAGTGAAAATTACGTGTGAAGTAACTGTTAGTATATATAGTTATATCTATCCATTTCAACATAAAATGATAAGGGCTTTGGTACCAATCAAGTACATCGCTTAAATTCATAAAGTCTAGGTAGCATAGAGGAAAGTTCATCCGAACAATTACTATGAAAATATTTATAGAAAAGACACCGGGAAACTACGCTATGGCGGTGGGAAATTGACTGAAGCCAAAATGCTAGGTCACGGCCAATAACTTTGCAGATTCATCTTTGTATTTTATCAAGAATCTATACATACATACATATATACATACATATATATTGTGTGTATTTAGGCAGCATTTTTTCATTCATACATGTTTCATTAAATAATATAGACAAGGGTTGTCTATTTATTTTATGTAAATTCTTTTCATAACGTCTGATAAGCTTAATAACATTATCATTAAACGAAGAAATAAAATCGCAATATTGATCCATATTTTTTAATCCAATCTAAGCTTTCGGCTTACATAAGCCATTATCAAAGATGTCAATTACTGTACAATATACTAAGCAATATACAGACAAGACAGTGATGATAGTCTGCTATTGTTACATGGATGATTTCCAAGCAACGATAAACACGTGTATATAAGACGCTAGAAGCGAAAATTTCACTGCAGTTCATGACGTCACACATGACCACGCGAGAGTGAATTCGAGAAGTATTGAGTATGGGAAGCCGTTGGTATAAACCAATGGCTTCTGTTACCAATTATAGACATTTAAGGATATTTGTAGAGATTCCATAGTTGATTTTGTTTAGATTAGGTTTTAACTGTTTGATATATATAGCTACAAGGATATTTAGTTCTTGTTTATTGTTTTCATGTTTAAGTATAATTGTGTTTTCGACAAGGATTTTACGGAATTGTGTGTGCGGCCAGGCATGTTGTTTTTAAATAACTAAATATATATATATATATATATATATATATATATATATATATATATATATATATATATATATCAGAAGTACCAGATGTGGCAGTAATATTTCATGCATGGAGGAATGGTAGACTTATAAATTTATAAGATAGGTTCTAGCGAGTAAAATTGTCTAGTACGACACAGTGAACCAACTTTCCTAGCAGTAGACCTAGCAATTGACCGTCCTGCGTATGAGGATAAACTACATCCACGTCTTGGGTAAGACGATAAACTACGTCCATCAGCAAGTCCTCTGATCAGGAGGTTTTGAGGAGCATGGAACCACCTTTTAATTTCTGGTGTTCCCAGGTCCATCCTGACCCGGGGTGGTAGCATCTGTTAGGGTCCCAACTATGGGCAAATAATTAACACCCAAACTTGTGTAAAAATAGCTTTTAATACCAGAAATACTTTGTAATAAAAAAATTTATTCCCAGCAATAATTTTTGAAGGAAAAAGTATTATCAGCAATACTTTGAAAAAAAAAAGAAAGCCTTCATTACAAACCTCTATAAATTCTTTGAAAAAAATATGACCAGCTATAGATTTCTTCAAGGAAAAATATTCCCAGAAATAGATTTTTGAAGAAAAACATATCAGCGGCAATAAAAATTTTGTCGGCATTAAATAACCCATTGAGGTGTTGATATGCCGTAAAAC